GTTTGAAGAGCGACGGGCTAAGCGAGCTACATTCACACTTTTTCCAAGGAATTCCGAACTCCTCTACATCATTCCTTTGCAGGTGGTTGCGAAGCCGCTTTCTGAATGCTGGGTAGGGTAGGTTCTGCCTAGGGTTGGGAACTTCGTTTGGTTGCTTTAGGTGTTTTGACATCTCATTGAACTGGTATTCATGGAGGCGGCCGGCTGCGCTACGTAGCGCAGCGCTGGCACGCGTGGGTTCACAAACCGTTTTGGGCCCACGAGTCTTTGACCGACACAAACATCGCCGCCAGGTGTTGGTGTACAGCTACGGATACATTGGCCAGCTTCAGATGATCTTTTGCTGGGTCATGTTTTTCTGGGTCGGCGCCTCAGCATCCGCGACGCTGTCATCCCTTTCGCGGTTGAAACTGGAGCTGCCCCGTCCATTTTCGCGGAGATGAGTAGGTTTTTGTAGTTGCACCAAACTCCATCCGCCCCCAAGTCAGTTTATCATGAGGCCCAAGCGTTTTTCCTTGAAAAAGGTGTCATGCCGTGGGCGATGTTTCTGCTTTCGGTGCATGATCAACTCTTTGTGCCTTTCCAGACGCCCCCACCAACTGCCTCCTTCCATGTCCAAAATGTCAAGACCGTCCAAAAAACAAAAAAAACAAATGTGGGTGGGTGCTGGTTGGGAGTGTTGTTCTTTTTCCCAATGCGGACATGTGAGTGTTCTGAGCGAACTTGCTCAATAATCAAGCGGAAACGAGCGAGTCCCTGACGTTTGTTTCTAGGATTCCGACTTCTTGTCAGATGATTTGATTTGTTTTTTTCACTTATGCCCTGATTCCTTTGCATCGCTTTCCTTTTTCGTACCTCCCGCTTGTGGATCGGCCTTCCACTAGATCTCAAGCTTGGACAAGGCTAGTTGTCATCAGGTACCAGGTCTGCCTTTAGTCTGTTGAATGGGATAATCATTATTCATAGGTATATACATTATATATATATATATACATATATATATATATGTATATACACGTATTTGAGGGCTTCCTTCTGTTGAGGTCTGCTTGGTGTCACTACATATATATATATATGGTACCCCCCCCTGGAATACTCAGGTTTTTGGCCAGAAATTTACATTTTGGCTGTAAAAATGCATGCAAAACACACGTTCCAGCTTCTAAAATGAGGCTCTAAAAATGCACTCGTTTTTAGACTTAAATTCTAGCATCGGTACTTAGTGCAATCCAGGATGTGCTAGCACGTGCTAGCACATCCTGGATTGAAGATTGAAGATTGAAGATTCTCAGACCACTTGTTCTGGATATCTTCAATCCGTCCTTAGGACTAACTGATATGTGCTAGCACGTGCTAGCACATCCTGGATTGAAGATTGAAGATTGAAGATTCTCTGACAACTCTCTCTGGGATTCTTCAATCTTCAATCTTCAATCCAGGATGTGCTAGCACGTGCTAGCACATACCAGTTTGTCCTCACGATGGATTGAAGATTTCCAGAACAAGTGGTCTGAGAATCTTCAATCTTCAATCTTCAATCCAGGATGTGCTAGCACGTGCTAGCACATCCTGGATTACTCTAAGTACATACTTGGATAATTTCAGAAAGAGTTGTCAGAGGATCTTCAATCTCCCATCCAGATCCTGGATTGCCTTAAGTGCGGATTTGAAGAATCTAAAAGGCAGACCGGGAGTGCACGTTGTCAGAATCAAAATGTGGATGTGCACTTGCACTGCCTGCAATTGGCCAGGGGGAAAAATGTTGCTGACACCTTTACAGCTTTTTTGGTGGACTTGAGGGCTGGCCAGGATGGAAGATTCTCAAATAGAACATCTGGGTAGATCTTCAATTTTCAAATCAGGGGGCGAAACCTTAATGTGTCTAGAACAAACTGTCAAGTTTTTGGGGGACCAAGATTGAGTATATTCTAAACATATGTTTGTGGAATCTTGTATATTCGATCTTCGAGCCAGGGCAACACGATCTGAGCAAATGCTGAAAAAACACTGCGTTTTACAGCATTTATGCAAAGAATAGGATCTATGTTTGAAAACCCGTTCCTGTCATTGGCTTGGCTCAGTTCTTGCTTGGTTCAAACCACATGGAGTTCGATAAGGACTAACCCTTTCAAAAGTGAGTTTGATTCCAAATTCATTTGGGCATGACAATAGCTATCTTCTCCAGTTGCTTATTGAAATGCACAAGAAACTGCAAACGAGTAAACTTGAATTTGGTTTGAACTCGAAAGCTTTTTTAACTGGATATTCTTCCCTTACTTGAATTTCAATACTTATTCTTGGCGATGATGGAACCAACTTAGACAAGCAACACACACACACACGTGGGATAGTTGCTTTGCAACATATGTTTCAAATAGACCGAACTAGCATGTCAGGAATTATGCACACCACTCGAGTTAGCATGTAAATGCAACTGCGCAAGGACATGGATTAGGAATGAGATCCTTTTCCCCGAGTTGATGTTTTGCCGAATTTCGCTGCCAAACAAAAATAATAAACACCAAATAATAGGGCTGCTACAGGCGCGTTGAAGCTGCCAAAACATACTTCGCGCACTACTCCTGTACTGAACAGTTGTGTTTTTTGAGCTGGAGCTGCCAAATTGCACTTTGTATATTTGAATGTGACACTTTAAGTGCACTTCGCGCACGCCAATGTGACGGTCACACAACTCGCAACTCCTAATCAACGTTGAGCTTAACTTCTGCGTGTTTAGAATTTGCATGGAGTTCAGTGTCCAGTTCATTTCAGAGTCTCAAGGCATTTGTCACCCCCAGTCTGGCTAAAAACGTCAGTTCTGCCCAAAAACCTGAGTATTTCAAGGGGGGGGTAGCATATATATATCTATATACCCGTCAACCGTCGGTGTTGACCGCATACATATATATATATATATATGTATACACACAAGACGGATGGCCGTCGACGGAACCTCCTAGGGGCGATAACTGCGTCCAGCCAAGTCGCTGTCTCTTGGAGACAGTCGCGCCTCGCCTGACACGCATGCTTTACTCAGCACTGTACCTACACCTGGCTTTCGGTGCAGAGCAGCGATTAACAACTGCACAGTCTTTGCGATGTCACAAGGACACTATCCTGCGCATGTTTTTGGTGATGGACCTTGATCACGCTCTTGGTCTCCTATGCTGCGAGCATATGTATATGTATGTATATATATATATATGCATATATATATATGCATATTATATAAATATATATAATGTTCTGAATTGGACCGCATGTACAGTACTTGTGTCCTCAAACAGCACGAGATAGCACTCTTTAGTGCAGGCTGCAGGGGTCGTTGGACAAAAGGGCAATCTACCAAGTGGCTTTTGCGTGATGAGTCTCAGACGGATGTCCGTGTCCTCGTTTTTGGCGCGTCTCGCCTAGGCCACTCCTGGCATGTGGGAGCTGACCCAGTCCGGAAAGAGTCCCAATGACTACACTGTGGAGGCCGGACGGCAGCAATGTTTTCGATTTTTGCCGGTGCGATAATTAAGCAGGGAATGAGAATCGGAATGAACCCAGTTATCGTAAAGGAAACCACCAGTTGGATGGTTTATAGGGGTCATTCCATGTCTCATTCCCTGCATCTCTCACACCGATCGCAAGTTTTTCGGCTCAAGATGCTCATTTTCATTTTTTGGTTTTTTTCAGGACTTTACCGTGGACACCATGGGCATGACCGTGTACTACTGGACCTTGGTGCTGGGGCAAATCGCCTGAGCCCAAGGCCTTGGTGTCGGGCGCCGGGCGTTTGTCTGGGAGCCTTGGGCTTGGTGAGTTGTTTTCATTGGAGTGGGGATAGGAACCGCAGGTAGGTGGGTCTCAAAATGGCTGTGGGTGTCAAAACCGTTTTGGGATCCCATTTTGGGGTAGGTGAATTCACGACCCATTTTAGAACCTATTTTAGTGGGGATTGGGATGTTCACTGGGGGTACCGGATTTTGACCCATGGCCAAATAGGGGACACCCCAGAAATCATGGTTCTTTCTTTGGTTTCCTTCGGCAGAAGCCAGCTGAAAACGGCTCTTGCCATTTCTGCCCAACCTTTGTGCCTCCAAAATTGTGCAAAGCAGAATCATCGGGACAAGGACCAATCTGTTTGAGCTATCTATATCGCTTCCCGAGCTCCTGGACTTTAGTCACGTTTTGGGTAGACAATTTTAGAGACAAGAAAAAGTTTGGACTTGTTCTCATAAATCCACTCAGGAAGTAAGTCTGCTTCACGGTTTACATTCCCGAGCTTCGTGTGCGTGCTGGCAAAGTGCACTGGCAAGGGGACATGTCGATTTTTTGGGCTTTCTGAAGAAGAACGTACAGGACCCCGACACACACGATCTTTTAGAGGCATATTTTCGTGTTTGGGGGGGGGGAGCCCGGAGCCTTGCTGGGCGTGATCTTAAAGTGCAGGCGAATATATCTGACCATTGACGACGCAGGTGGCCAAACCCACCCCCATTCTCATCAAAGCTGCGTTCTCCTAACGTGCTGTCTCCGAGGCCGCCGCAGTTTCTACCACCACAAAGCTCCAGAGCGTAGGGAGCCCAGGCGGCCCAAAGCGCGTGAACCAGCCGTTCTGGCCACCCACGCGGTTTGGCAAACCCTCGTTGGTAGATAAGAGGAGCCTTTCAAGGGTTGTGCCCGCAGTTTGGACTGGACGCTTGATTGCTATTGGGCAGCGGATCTTCAGACTTTAACTTTTTGGGAGATCTTTTGAGTTGTCCGTTGAACCCACAAAAACAAATCGACATTTTTGCAGAGGGGTCAACAGCAACCAAGGACATCCAAGGACTTGTTCTCAGGATCTATGCTTTCCGTCAACGATTGATGCACAAAAGTCGGTCAACGCATTGATGCGGACCGTGCAAGTCGTATCAACACATGTTTGCATCGCTGCCCCCAGAGGCAACCTGGATGTATCTTGAAAATCATGGAAACACCGCAATTTTTGGCCGTTCCCCGCTTTTATCGCCGTGTAAAGCAGGATGCAGACAAAGAAATGCCACGCCCACACTCAGCATGACGATGTTTCTTTTGGCCGGACTGTCGGTAGCTGAGGTCTTGGGTTTTGGGACGGCGCCTTACTGCTTCCCCAACACCACGCTGAATCTTATGTTTGTCGGAGAGGCCGGGCCCTCGGTGGACGGCACTCGGGCAGAGCGAGCGTGTGATGCCAGTGATGCCTGCAGTGTAGGGTTCAGGGCTGGGGTTCACCGGGCTTCCGCTTTAGTGTTCTGTTTCTTCAGGTGTTGTCCTGATGTAGTCCTTCTTTTGCTGAGCAGGGCAAAGCTTTGCAATGTCGGCTGAAAACTTGGAGACGCACGGTGGGCCGCAACATACGAGGGCATACTATTCTGGCCATTAATCAAAACATATTGTTCATTTCATTCATTTGACATGATCATTTCTAATCCATCCCAACAATGCAGAATTGAACAAACACACACACAAATGCGGATAGTACTCATCAGACTGTATGTTAGTGTCATTTATTGATATTGTGGTGATTCTATGCCTCCAGCTGCAGTTAGGCGCTGATTGTGTATTGCAACTTTTCAGAGATCCCCGTAACTTCAATCGTCAATAGATCTGTTTGTTGTCTACGCGAAGAGGGATTGGCCAGAATCCTGACAGCTTGGTTGACATGGCAATCCTGTTGTAAACGCTCGCAGTTGTTCAATTCCTGAGAGATCGTTCCCACTTTTTTCCACTTCGCTTAGCTCGACGTAGATGAGTGGACCAGTTCTTTCTGGCCAAGAGGCCTTGTGTTTGAGATGCGTTTACACCCAAACCTTTGCTTTGGCCTTGCACTACGCTCGCAAAAACACTGCAATGTTGGCATCCGCCGAAACTGATATTGATGAACCAAGCAGTTGGTGAGCAATGAATACACCCATACATGCATGAAACCTTGGCGGTGTTGGGCGTACTGGGTGTCTCTCAGACTAAGCTTAGTAGCAAAATGGACCAGAAAACAATCAAGGCATACCACATGTTCATGCAGGATTCATACTTTCAGTCTATACTTTGTGCTACTTGCCACGGTTCGATCTCCAGTCTGAACAGTTGCGCGCAGCCTGATCAGTTCGCTTCAGGATGTATCTTGATGGACTCTGCACATTGCCAGTCCGCAACCACCTGCCCAGTGCATCCAAACACTTTTCCGTTGTTTTAAACAAGTGCATCTCCTTTGCAGAGACGTTTTTGCTGACTACACGGTTTTGGTGTTTGTTCGTTGGGAGTACCTGTATTTTGTTGCCTATCTTCGGAGAACGGAATGTCGGTCAAAATTAAACCACCAGAATTGAACCATAGGTTTTGCTCCTTGTTTCCATTTACTGATGGGGCAAGCCACAAATAGGTTACCCACTATTTTTGGCAACCACTTTTTTTCCAAGCTCAGGTTGTCATGGGCCTTGCAGCCATTTACTGCGCCCCGATCCAGTCTGCCTTCAAGACAGGCGCGCACGCGTGCCGGGAGCTCGCGAGAGATAACTCGCGCCGTTGAGGGACCTCTTCAGGTGGTTGGTTTGCAGCCATTGGTTTCCCGTTGAAACCCATCTAAGGGGGGCCCTAGTTTGAGATACACCCAGAGGGCCCCTCTATCCGAAAGTTCCAAGCGTTAAACGGAGGCGTGGAGCATTGTTGAAATAGGTCTGGGGAAGTCCCTGTTTAAGTCAATGTTTGCACGCAGGGACCACACGATCTGCTCAATCGAGCTGGGCCTAAAGTGGTACAGACAAAGGCGCCCACGAGCTATTGGGCTACCCAACAACTGCTTGATAAGTCAAATCACCCGGGTGCGGTTTGCTTCGAACATCTTTTCAAAAATCGCTACGTGCACCACTCGCCGCGAAAGCCGCCTTCGGGTGAATTCCCGGTGCCTCGTCTCGGTCAATCAGTCCAAGCCCCTTCTGGGTTCATGTCTTTTGTCGCCTATGTTTTTGCCGCATCCGTCTGGGTACACATCACATCCACTGGGGAAATCATCTACCAGGGAAACCCATCGATTTCCCCTAAAAGGACACCTATGGTCACATCTTGATGTGTCTGAAGACAAAGAAGCCTTGGGCTGTGCTGTCATGCGACCAGGCTGGATCCCAATGCGGGCTGTCTTGCTTCCCATCATCACCTTTGTGGGCCCGGGCCTTGGGAAGTGCTTCAAATGGCCATTTCGGCCATTTGATTCGATGGTATGAGGTCTTGTTTCCCATTTAGAGTTTGTCTCAGAATGATTTGTTCGCACCCTTTTTCGTTTGGTTCGGATTTGAAGGGAGTCCAAAAGGACACCCAACCATTCTAGGGGGCAGTCTGAAGTCCCACCTTCGATTTTGGACCCGTTTCCATTTTGGAGGGAGCTGCTGGACAAGCTTGAGTTTTCAGATGACCTCGAATCGATTGTTGAAGTAGAACCCATTCGATCTGATCAAAGCGATGCCGAGGGATTCCTATCCGCCTGGTGGCTGTGAGGTATCACAGTCATCGATGAGATCCGGAAGTGTTTGGCCCGCAGCTGTGATGAGCAACAGCCGCGGCCCCCAGACTTCCTGACTGACATTCAGTTGCTCCGGGCTTCCGAATGCATCACGGGTGATGAGTTTTGCCAGGTTGCGGGCTTTGCATGAAGGATCTGAAGACGTTGGTGAGGGTCTAAAACTGCAAGCTTGCAGTGTTCGATATAATCCCCAGCGGTTTCAGACCAATCCTTGGCAACCAGTTGACAATTGTCCGGATTAGGCAATCAGAGTCTCTGGGTGTTCCTTTTTTGAGGGTATCCCTTCTTCGTGGAGGAAATCTTTATGCGAAGAACCCAGCCCTTGGGTATCAAAAAAGGCACTCTCTCATGTGCGGTGCTTTGTGTCGATTTTCAACTGTTCAAGCTCTCTTTTTAGACCACAATTGACCTGGACGATCTAGTCCGTGTAGTGAAAGGCTCAACTAATCTGATCATAGCTCTGCGGGATCAAACCCGGTCAGGCCAGGGATGATGGGCAATTCATGGCTTAAGAATCTAGTCCCAAATTGTTGAGGCCGAACATATGTCCAGACTTCCAGGTGTGTATCTGAGTGATCCGCTTCTAAAATCCGCTGGTGCGAATTGTCTAACAGGCTGTGTTTGTACCTACTGCTTTGAGAATTCAAGTCGGTTTTTTGTTGTTCTTTTTTGTTTCTTCTTGTTTCTTTAAACACATCTACAGAATGGATCGCAACGGACTGCCCTCATGTTGTTTTTTTGAGAACGCGAGGGCCGAGAGCTGATCTGGCGGCCTGCCGGCCTGGCCTTTGTGGCTTCTAGGCCACAAAGAACTGCAAGAGATGTCGAGTATTGGACATTGGACTTTACGCCACTTTCTGAGTTTCTGCACTGTATCAACATGGTTGTCGATGGAAACACATTGTACATGTTTGCTTATTGTGGTTTAGTGGTTGAAATCCCCACTTAACTGCTAACATCTAGATTTTCGCTCCCCTTCCAACGTCAACCAAGCCAACTGGTTGGATTTGTGTGTTCTATGAACAGCTTGATTATTTTTTGTTGGCCAATCCACGGAAGCGAGTCGCCGATTTCTTTTGTGGCGACGGGTTCTTTAGTTCAGCGGATCTGGATCTTCCCACGCCCGGCTAGGCCTCGGTAGAGCGGCCTAGAAGGGGCGCGGGGCCCAGTCGGGCGTTTTTTTTTGTTTCTTCGAACTGGGCGCCTTTGATCAGGCAAACCTTAGTTGGGGGTTGTGGTTGGTCCTGGGTAAGGTCATCACTGGTTGTGCAATTCCTGCAAACTGCAAAGCATTTCCTGGAAGCTGCAACGGGTGGCGGAGAAATCTGGCAGCTATCACGGTTCTTGCTTGAAAACACAACACGCCATGTTTGTAAATCTCAGGCAACCGCCAAGAACGATCGCAGTCAAAGAACTTTGATGCAGTCGCACTCTGGGAGACGTAGGTGCCAAAGGTGACAATTGAAAGCACAGGGTACCTTCCCACATAATCATCTCCGCAATGCATAGGTCGATTCGCGAAGTCATTCTCTTCCGCCGCCCCCCAACAACTCATTTTTTCGACCATGTCCAAACCCATACTGTCCAAGAAGCGGTGGTTGCTATGGACCCGGGTGCTGGTTCTGACAAGTTCAGTTGACTTGCAATGTCCAGTCCATCTATGGGTCAAATCAGCTTCCTGCTAATTGGTGGTTGGGTTTGGTGGTTTGTAAGTGAAGGGGTACCTTCGGTTGCTTTCGACAGGAGCTGGGATCGAATCCAAATCCAAACCTCTCAGTGAGAGCGAACTGATGGCTGGCTTGAGGGGTTCATGAAGGGACATTTGCTGTAAATGTATAGTATACATATTATAGATGAATAGATAGATAGATAGTTTGATAGATAGTTTGATAGATAGATAGATAGATAGATAGATAGATAGATAGATAGATAGATAGATAGATAGATAGATATATAGATGAATAGATAGATATATAGTTTGATAGATAGATAGATAGATAGATAGATTAGATAGATAGATAGATAGATAGATAGATAGATAGATAGATAGATATCAATTCACCAGGAGTACCCCACAGAGAGACCCAATTGTGTTTGTCCCACTGTTGCTTGATGCATTAGCAGTGAGTCCGGAGATCTTGGGGCCCAAGTTTTCAGATGCAACAGGCGGCACGAGTCCACGCAGACGAAGGGGAATATGTGTTTAATCCCCACATGGCATGATATTATTCCGTTTGCTGAAGTGCATTTGCTTAAACAGCAAAAGTCAAATGTTGGTTTTACAGGGAATCGATTTCACTACTGAAAACATGTTCTCTTTTTCCCAGGAGGCGAAAAAGCACATGGACGTATTCTCTGTGGGATGCTGGTTGGTCTATTCGGACGGACGCGCCCAAAAGCGAACCTGCACCACAACCAGGTGATTCTTAGGTAAAGTGTCCGCATGAGTCTGTTTGTTCTTGAAGAACATGCCTATTTCAGTTTCGCTGAACACCTGACATAATGAAGAACACAACTGCTCAGCCTTTGTAGGTCACTGCTTTCCTGAACATGGTGCAAACCCTGAACATGCAGACAAGTGATCTACTTGCGTTCCATGAACCACGTGTTTGCAAGGAGTTGACATGCTAGGCAACGAAGCTTCAATTATTGCAGCTGTCTGATCAAACTTGCCCCATGAATCACAGTGCCCAACCGAAGGCCTTTGTATTTGGGATCTTGGGACATGGGAATGCGTCAAAACCGGGTGCATCTGTTCAACTCTTTTCAACTGGCTGTGCTTCTGGATTCAGCGGCTCAACGGCTGAGGTTTACACTTTTCACCTTGACGGTTGCTATACTACTCAACTTTGAACAATCAGGCAAGTGGGGGTGTGCCGGAACAGAATGACTTGGCAAAGCAACCTATGCAGTAAAGGGGATGATTGCGTGGTAACGAACCATGTGCTTTCAATTGTTACCTTTCAAACATCAGGCAAGTTGTTGGTGCTGGAAGAAAAACGGCTTCCAATTGCCACCCTTCAAAAAAAACAAGCAAGCTGTTGTTGCTGGAAAAAGAAGAAGACATTTGTATGGCTTCCGGTTGAAACAGTTGTTGGTGCTGGGAAGGAAATGTATGGCTTCCGGTTGAACAAGTTCTTGGTGCTGAAAAACAAAACATGACATGTGTGTGGCTTCCGGTTGAGAACACCACCGCCCGGCTGTCCGGTCCACGCCACGTTTGGCTCCAGGAGCTCGATGCCTTCGCGCGCTTCGATGTGGCTCGCTCAAGGCGAGGGGCATGGAGGCCACGGAAAAGCCACCGGCGTGCGGGGCCCACATCCCCCCGGGTGTGTTCCCAGGGAATTGTCCGCTTAGGCTAGGTTAGGTGTTTTTCTAGGTCCCCCAGCAATTGGCGCCGACTTTTGCCGTGTCGTTTTTGGTTGGGAGGGTTGCCCTACTAAAATAGACAGAAACAAGTTGGTACCAACTTAGTCTAACCTGTCTACTGGACCTGGTAGGCAAAACCACCAAAGGATGGGCTAAAGTGTTAACCGTAGGTGGTCGCTTGTCTTGACTCTTTGTAAGTATCCACTTGGGCCACCATTTTGGCTCAAGTGGACACTTCCCTTTTGTCTTGGAATCTGAAATTTCTCATTCCCCTCCTATCAAAGCCATGTACACCCCCGCCTATGCTGGTGCCGCGGTTGCAGAGGCTAAGGCGAAGGCCTTGTGAAAAAGGAGGAAGAAGGTTGGACCGTCCTGGCGGCTGAGGTCCCTCAGGCACCGGACGAACGGTTCTTCTCCAGCGCCGACGAGCTGGAGCAAGCCCCACTCATCCCAGCCAAGCGTAAGGCCGAGGACGAGCTGATGGCGGACTCCCCCCCTGGGGTGGCGCAGGTGCCGAAGGCCCTGACACGCCCCCCAGGGGCGTTCCTGGAGCTTCTCGACCCTCCAGAGCCGGATGTTCCCATGGAGGAACTCCTGGCGGAAGACGAGGAGGAGCCCCCGATGGAGGAACCCCTGGCGGAAGATGAGGTGGACCCCCCGATGTCCGACACCAAGTGGCAGGGACGCCAGGACCTTATGGAAAAGGCCAGGGCGCAGGTGTCCTCGGAGGGGGATGAGGACCCCGCAGCCCCCCCGCCAGGGGGAAGCGTCTTCACCAAGGCCCTCAAAGTCTCTGAGGGCCTTTACCAATTCAGTGCGGACCAGATGGCGGGCGACTTCCCGTGTTTTGATGGGACCACGGCCGCCAGGCTCCGACGACTGCAGGCCAAGGATGTCCAGCGGCTCTTGAGAGGCTTTGAGGGCCCCCAACTCAAGCAGGGGGGCCTGGAGCGCGTGGTGGAGGCGTTCTACATCGCCAAGATGAAGTATGAGCATGAGGCCCTGCTCAGCACCCCGGGACAGAAGGTTGGCAAGCGCGCTGGCCTGGGGTATGGGGGCCTTGAGAACCGCCCCCTGGGTAAGGAGCCCACATCCTGGATCTGCCCCTGCTGCACCATGCCCTGGGTGAAGAAGGGCGCCAGGAAGTGTATGGGGTGCGGCAAAAAGACGGAGCCCATCGACACGGCGTCCAACTTGGCCACCCTGGAAATGGCGGGCACGCACTGGCAGCTGACAGTGGATGACCAGGGCAATGCGGTCTGGACGGCGGCCCGGTCCGCAGGTGCCGATGGCCCTGACACGGACCGGGCCCGCGACCTCAAGCTCAGCGCCTCGGTGGATGTCAGCGAGCTGGCCACCGACCCAATGGCATGCGAGAACCTGGACCAGGCCAGCTTCTCGGATTTTGTCCCCTCCTCGGTCCGGGCGGTGATCAGGAACTGCCCCATGGAGCTGGACGAGGATTTCCTGACGGCCCCAATGGGGGAAAGGCCCCCGTTGCCGGGCGACAAGGAAGAGGGCCAGGAGTGCAGGGCCTTCCACCCGTCGGCAGTGAAGGCCTTCAAAATCCAGACCCGGCTCAACGCCACCACCATCGCCCAGGAAGAGGCAAAGAAGGCAGACCAGGTGGCAGCGGTGGAGCGATCTGCGGCGGTCCTCCACGAGCTCCAAGGAGGGGCCATCGATGGAGGAGGCGATGGGGGACAACTCCTCAAGAATTTGGACTTGGACCTTTTCCGCGAGAAACTGCTGGATAAGCTG